ATAATAAAATAAAATAATTTTAAACAAGTCCTAAGTTTATTCTCCCTTACCTTCTTTGATTTACATTGGCCCTTTGGTGGGTTCAATTTTAACCTAATTAACACTTCCTTGAAAGTCAACTATATTTGAAAGAATTTTTTCAAGACTGTCTCCATCATCAGGTGTTGTCATGGACGTCTCGTTAGTGCTCTCTAATTCTTAGTACTATAGTATCATGGGAGAATCACATTGCAAGCCTTGCAAAAGCAAAAATTTACACTACAGGTTTAATACATTCTGATATTATATATATTGCAGGCTCAATAGCTATTGTTACATTTTTTTTTTGAGAGTGAAAGCATAATTTTATTTTTATGTGATTTAAAAACTCAACTTGTGTAAAACCCTCATCCACAAAACACAACATAATATTTATGAATTTTCAATACAATGTCTATGCGTGTCTAGTTAATCTGTAGGTTAAAATATACAAGTCACATAGAGCATGTATAATACAATATTCATCGATGCACAACGTGATGTTCATGAATTTTCAACACAATATTCATACGTGTCGAGTTGATCTATATGTTAATTAAAATATGTAAGTCATGCAAAGCATGTACAATATGATATTTATGGGTGCATAACATGATATTCATAGAGTCTTAATATAATATTCATGAATTCTTAATACAATGTCATTTGAAAATGCATGAATATCGTGTTATGCATCTATGGATATTGTGTTGTATATCGTTTGCATCACTTATATATTTTATTAAATCTATCAATCAATTAGACACACATGGATATGTGTTATGAGAATTTATGAACATCATGTTATCCATGAAAATTAAATTATACATGATCGGATTTTTCAAATTACACGAGAGCAAAATTATACTTTTATTCTTAAGAAAAGTTGTAACAAAGGCTCTTGAACTTGCAGTGCAATATCAAAATATATTGGACTTGCAGTGTAATTTTTACCTTTTTAAGGCCTACAGTGTGATCACTGTCTGGCAGGATAACTACTTTTTCTCCATTTTTAGTTTTTCTTCTTGATTTTTATATTGTATAATTGTGTCTTAATGATTTTATTGTGTGTGTGTGTATTTGCTTGTTTTTCAAAAAAATGGTTAAAAAATTATATTACATCTATTCATATTCATATTGAATTTTAATATCTTAATTTTCGTCAACTATATTGTTAATCGAAATAATAAAAATGCCCATATAAGATCATTAGAAAAATATAAACTCTTGTTATTAATATTATTAACACTTTAAAATTTACTTTTTTTAATTTGATTGAAAAATATATATTAAATATATAAGAATAAGAAGACTCTAAGTTTCACCTAGTAATGATTGTTTATTGCTGTGGTAGAATCAAAACTTTAGCTCGATATCCCCTTCCTCATTTACTGTTTTTTTCCTAGGGCCATTGTGCCAATAGCATGTTATTTTTAGTAGTATCATTATCATCATTGTGTTGGTCTTTGGAAATTATTATTAAAAAAATTGACAATTAAATCTAAAAGATTAAATTAATGACAATTGAGTATTTGATAATATTTTTTTAAAAAAATATGTAAATTCATTCATCAAAAAAGTTATAAATAGAAATCTCAATTATAATATAAGGTTACACTTGAAATTTAATGTTTTATAGGTAATTGAAACTCCTAAATTCATAAATTTTTGAATTAATATTTTTAATTTATTTTTTTTAAAAATGAAAAATTTAATCATTATTGATTTAATTGTTTAAAACATAACTGTTATTCTCTCTTTCTATTACTGCCACTGTCATTATTTTTTGCTCAAAAGTACCACTCTGTTTTATCATTACCATGAATTTATGATTTGTTGGGGAGAGACAATAAAGGTCCCTTAATCACATTTATTTAAATTTAAAATTCTTACATTTCTAAAATTATACTATAGTTTAGAATGATTTGATATCAAATTTTTGAGAATAATGATAAAATTGTCCCTCATTTAAATTAATATAAGAACTTTTCTACTTTATTTGTTCATTGTTCTACTCTACTTGTTAATTTACTTAGAAAATATTGTTAATTATCCTATTTAACTTATTTTTATTTTAGTATTTAAATCATCTTAAGATAACTTATTAATTTCTATGCTGTATATTATTCATTTACCTATGAACTGTTGTTCATTGCCCTATTTCACTTGTTCATTATCAGATTTTCACTTGATTTTATTTCAGAAAAATGAATAAGTGAAGTAGGATAATTAACAACCTTTCAGGAGTAAATAAACAAGTGAAATAGGCAATTAATAAATAAAATAGAACAGTTTTAATATTAATTTAAATGAAAGAAAATTTTATTATTATTTTTAAATTTAATATCAGATTAGTACCCCTAGACTCAGTAATATTTCAAAAATTTAAGGGTTTTGAATTTAAATAAGCGTGATCAAGGGATCATTATTGAAATTCTCTCATTTTTTGGGTATATGAATAATTCATGATTTTATTAGGAAGAATTTCAAATAAGGACTGGGGATGTGACATAATTATTGGCGAGTCTCCAAAAATTTTGAAATTTTAGTCCAGCCTAAGGGGATAAAAGTCTAAATAATTTTAATTGTGAAAAGACTAAAGTACTATTCACTTGTTATGCATAATTACTAGTTGTTAATTTTTTACTTTACTTATTAATTTACTAATATGAGTTACAAATTATATGAGTTGACATGTCAATAATTATATAAGACTTGACATCAATTGTTTAATCACAAGCAATAACATTAATTATTAAATTACTAACTTATTAATTTATTAATATCAGTCATAAATTACTAACAGGTCTTTTAATTTATAACCGATGTTAATAAATTAACAAACAAAGTTAGCTAATTAATAACTAATTTTACTATTTACCTAACAAACGGATGTAACTTATAAGTGATTTGTTAAATTAACAAGTAAAATAAGAAGATTGATAATTAGTGATTTTGCATAACAAGTTAATGGTATTTTAATCTTTTTATAATTAAAATTATTTACACTTTTATCCCTTTAGATTGAATTGAAATTTTAAAATTTTTTAAGTCTCACTAATAATTATATCATATCCTTGATCCTTATTTAAAATTCTTCTATTTTATTATTATTACACTTTAGTTAGTGCATGTTTGGTTTACCTCCTAATTGAGATTGAGAGGACCCAAACCTCAATGGGGGTAAAAATCTCATTAGAAAGTTTCGTATCTTGTTTGGTTAAAAAAATAAAAAATAAAACAAGTGTTTCCCTCCAAAATGAGAGTCACAGCTGAAGCCATCTGAAGCACTTTTTTTTAGGAAAAAAAAATTGAAGGAGTTGGATGAGCGTCGGAGCGTTAAAACTTCAAAATTATCATCATATTCTCTCTCCTCCTATCCGCCCACCCCACCCCACCCCAACCCACCCGCTAATAGCTTGCTTGTCTCTTCTTCTTTCCTACATCTTCACTTCACCGGCTGTTGCCTGCAGCATCTCCTTGAAGTGGTCTTCGACCGTGTTTGTGCCTGGCATTGTCAGCATCTGTAGAGGTCGATTGTTGATGGAAACTAAGGGTGGTCACAAGACCAAAAAAAAATTTAAAACTGAATTTTTATCCCATATTCCATTTCGATTCTTAGTGGGACGGGACCAGGATGAGTTCAGAACATCTCGTCGTCCTGATAAATCGAATAATATTAAAAAAGATTTAAATAATAACATTCATTAAAATTTTAGATCATATAATTTATTAAATTTAAAATCAAAACAATACAAGTACATGAATCACAATAATTTAAAATTAATTATTAAATTATATTAATTACAACTACACATTATGATAGCAATTACAAGCAATACTTAGGTTATAAGAGCAACAACAATAAGCAAGCCAAGCACAATATTAAATCATTGTTCTTTCACTTTAATTGAGATATGTTAAGCTAATTATTCTTTCAAAATTAAAACAAAATTTGATATAAATAAAAGTTATTAAATAGATAGATTTAAAAATAAATTATATTAATATAATTAATATATTACAAAGAAAGATATCGCCCTATTTACTTTATGTTATTAAAATTATCAATATGAAAAACTTTAGTTTTATATAAGAATTGCAAGAATTGAAATTATAATTGATATAATTATAAGTATGAATTATATTAATATAATTAATATATTTAATGTATATTTTTGAAATAAATATAATATATATAATATTCGAGACAAGATGGGACGTCCCGGTGGTAATCACATGTCCCGTCCCATCTCGAACTCCTTTCCTGTCTCGTCCTAATTGTTTTCAGATTGGGATGAGACTTGTCCTGATATAATCAGGATAATATTGGGCAAATTGAGACGGATACAAGTTAAACATCCCTAAATTGAAAACCACAAAAGCCATCTTTTCTTTGGCTTACCTTTCAAATCTTTCCCTATCCAATTTATTTTAATCTCCGTGGCTTGTGAGAATAATCTGGTTTTTATCATATTTATTTTGTTTGACTATTTATATTAATTTGAATGCTCATTTTACAGTTACATATTTTTGAAAAATAATAAAATATAAATTGTTATTATCCCCAATAGAATTAAGTGTCAATTTATGAATTTATTTTGTTCTATTATAATTTTAAGTTTAATATTTTTTAAAAAATATTAAATTAATTATAAAAATATATACAAGAAAACTTATATCCAATTTTATCATTATACATCTTAACTGACTTTTATATTAAATCATTTAAATCAATTTTAATTTATCTAATCGATTTTTTTTAAAAAAATTTAAATATAAATTATATTAAAATTACATATTTTTTAACCTTAATTTATTAACTTTAGCTTATAAATTTTTTAATCAAAACATACACTTAAAAAATTGCTAGGTTCTTCCATTAGCCGTTATCAGTTTGATAAACTTATTATTAGCATTATTTTTTGAAAGTAGGTTTTGGGCTTTTGAGAATGAAAGATCATATTATGACAGCGGCTAAAGGAACCAATGAAGGCCCAGACACTCTACAGTGGCGAAAACCAAATCTGGATCCTCATGTCGATGCCTAAATCCCTTCTTCGCAGGTGTTAATTCGGCGAACGCCGTAGCCGAAAGCTTCCGCCGTTGACGGCGACGATGATGCTGAGATGTTGCTCCAGGCTTCGCTCTTTGGCTCTTCACTCTCGCCTTCCTCTTCCCTCACCATCTTCTCGTCGTCTGCTTCACTACTCCCCTCATCCTCTCCAGTTTTCTTCCTGTAATCGGCTTCCTTCTTCCCTCTTCAATGCCTCGTCATCATCCCCTCCTACATTGGCTCTTTACGCCTTTCGCTATTCTCCTTTGCCTCCCTCTGTAAGTTATTGGTTTCGAGCTTCTATCCCCCCCTCTTATGAGTTTTGTCTGGGTGCTGAGAAAATGCGTCAGAAGACACTGGCTTCGATTTGGGAATTTTAAATTGATGTATGTTGTACTTATGAGTTGTTGATTTCTCGGTTCCGAAGTAATTTAAGAGTGAAATGTTCATTTCTTTTGCCTCCCTCATCAACTGAATAATAAATGATAAATTTGAGTTTAGTTGCTTACGATTGATGTTATATTTGAGTTTGTTTCATGGTGTCGCTCTGATCGTTATTGTGACATCATTTTAGTTCTTCTATGAAACTGTAGTTGGTTCAAGTGCGGCACGTTTCTTCAAGAGAGCGGAAGAAGAGAAGGAAGCCAATGACGCCGGTCACTTCCAAGCTCAAGAAATTCAAAATGAAATTTTATTCGTGCGTCGTTTCACCTTAACACCTGCATCTTTCTTTTTTTATTTCTCTTGTTATAGCATCTCATTTTCAGCTCACAATTTATGGAACAGGTCTTACAAGTCCAGGTTCGGAACATTGAATGATGGGACGATCAGGCGCTGGAAGGAGGGCAAACGGCACAATGCTCATTTGAAGGTCTGCCTTTTTCTTATACTTTGATAGATTAAGCTCTTAAAATATCTGATACTTTAGTTGCCACTAAAAAGTGAGTTCCTGGAGTGGCTTTCTCTAGAATCCTTATCATCGTTTTCATGGCTTGAAGCACCCAAATAAATCACATTACACCTATTTTCAGGATTCCCTCAAAAGCTTCATACGAGGCGTAAATAAATTTGCAAATCCTTTCTTGGCTAAATCTTAAAATCTTAACAAATCTTTGGCCCTGAAAACCTGGCGTCCAAAGAATTTTTATGCATGAATGTGGAATATGATACATTTTTCTTTCACATCTCACTATAAAATCCTCTGAATGGATAAATAATTGCAACTTTCTCTTTGGTATATGATCTTGTAAGACTTTAAGTCTATAGTCCTTGATGGACTAGAGCTTGCTTGATTCACTTACCACTGTATGGTGAAAAATAGAGAGGATACCCAATATCCCGTGGCTTTACTGGCTCCTCTTTAAATATTGGAAGACTAACTTGATGCCAGTATTTTAATTCTTCCAGCCCAACTGCACGCACACATACATTCGTAAGCATTTGCATTTCTTTGTAATATTAAGATAAGAGAGGAAAAGTATTAGTGCTTGTATTACGCAATTAATTCACAAAGTTTAATATTCTCAATTCCTTTCCTATATTTTGTTTCCTAAATATAGGCTTAGGGACTGTTGTGCTTGGCATTCCTTGACTACATGTAATAGACAAATCAAATCATGTACAAGAGATAATGACTAGATACTATTTTCTGATTCACTACAACTTGTGGCCACATATACTTTGGCTTTCATGATTTCATCGTTGATGAGGGGTAGATGAATTTGAATCTCCCTAGGATGCTCCTTTGTGGTCACATTATTATGCATAGGCCATTGGGAAAAACTAAAATGCAAATTGGATGCATTGAGGCCTTGCTTTGATGCTCGTGGTTGCCATAAGAGGGGTTTATTTCAATTTATTGCAAAACATATGGATAATCCAAAATGCAAATTAGTTGGGTTTATTGCCTTTGTGGTGTGACTGTCTGTTTTGACATGGATGTTATGGACCATATTATGCATAGCACATGAGGCCTTTCTTCGGATAGCTGACAGTACACATGCACATGGTTGTGGATCATGAAAATTCATCTGTAGTTTAGTGTATGTGGGCCCTTTAATAATATCTGTCGCAAACGTAGTGCAAACTATGAAGTTTAACGTGGTAGTTCACTGTCCAGTCTAATCAAATGTGGCCATGTATCCAAAAAAAGAATAAATATATAAATAAAAAAGAGGCCAGCTGCTTAGATGATTCGAGGGACTTCCCCTGTTCTGTATTTGGCCTGGGGGCTCTAGTCTATTCTTGACTGATTGAAATTTGAAGAGCATGAAAGACTCGCAAGTTAGAATGTTTGATGATATCTTTGGACTGATATATTATAAATGCTAAAATAAATGAGAACAAATTGCTAGGACATACCTGAAATTTGAGTGTATAATCCATAATTGCTCAAGTGAGAGTAGTGATGGGGAAGATGAGAGCATGCCACAACCCACATCGACCAAAAGAGCAAGAATGGGTGGGGCGAAATTTTTACGGACCACATATAAAGGGCTAAGAGTGGTCAATTACAGAAATGCTCCTAGTCAAGCTTAAATAGGATCCCTAGCTCGTCTATGAGTTGAGATATCTTCCATAATTCATAATTGAATTTCACAACCCGTTATGTTCTATTTTGTTAAACCCTGTCTATTTTAATAAAGTGCTCATGGAGGCTTAGTAGTATGAGATATCAAGTCTTGTATTAAGTAGTATAAGATGCTTAATGAGATATTTAAGTGCATTAATTTTTCTATCTCAACAGCTAGTTTTTGGGGTAGAGTTTCACATCCTACTTTGGTACCTATCAATTGGTATCAAATTCAGATTGTTGACTGTTCTAGAGAGGGCTACCCACAAAGAATTTTGATCGGCAGGAAGTCGAGTCAAGTGTCATAGAGTGCAACCAACGAGTGTGATCTTTTCATAGGAGGTCAATTGATAGAGACTTGTTAACATGTGATATCAAGTTCTACCTTGAATAGTATGAGATACTCAATTAAGTATTTAAGTGCATTCGTTCTTACACCTCAATAGTTAGCTTTTGAAGTAAGGTTTTCCATCCCATTTAGACTTTGGTAGCTGTTAAGTGCTATACACAATTACATAAATGTGTTTTGGTAAACAAATTTGATGGTTGGTCAATGCTAACCCACATACCATGACAAAATTTTTCAACAATAAGACCACCGCTTAGGTCGTAGTTTCATTTCCCTCATTGTTGGACATGGTAAATGATAGCCATTTGGTTTATGTGAGCATACCTTAGGATGTTCCACTGTTTTTGAAACTGATAATTTTCTGGTATTAACTGCAGTCAAAGAAATCAAAACGGAGACTGAGAAAACCTGCTATTGTCCCTCCAGCATTCGCCAAAGTGATGAAGAAGCTCAGTTTTTGTGCTTAGAACACCAAAAGTTCCTTCTACTTACGGCATGAAAGAGAAAATGTTTGCAGATCATTATTTAATTTATTGTCTTTGTTGTCCATTTTCTCATTTGATGAACCATAGAATGGGCAATTTGAAGTATGCAGAGCGGTGTGTTCCCTAGGTACTTGCTTTGCAACAAATCATTTGATAACATGTTCCGGTCTATCATAGTGCCAGCCAGTCTTTAGTGAACAATATGTGAAATAGTGGCTGATTTATCTTTGTCGTTGGGATTCTTCCGGATTGTTTGTAGCTAATAAAATTTATTTTAGGAATCCAGAGACCGGAGGAGCGTCTCTGAGAATGTGAAAGCTGGATTAACTTCGAAGTTTGAAGGATATATATGATCGTTTTTAAATTAATTGAAAATGAGAATACTGTTTTCCATGGATGGAAAGCAAGGAGTATAGCATAGCATATATTCCAATATATTGAGTGGATTCATCAAAATATCACACTTATCATTTATAAAATATATAAATTCTATATAACAACATATTGGTATATATTCCCAGTATTGTTGGATTCATATTCATTTCTTGCACTCAAAGTAGAAATAGACACGCTATTCATTCATTGTTTGGTATTTGTTTTGAAGTCAATTCTTTGCGAACTTCCATTGGGGCGCACACAAGGCAGCAAATGGATGCTTTCATTTGTTATCGCACAAATGACTTCTGACATTGTTGGCTTATGATCGCATCACAGAACCACTAAACTAAATACGAGAATTTGTGTACATTAGGAAACTGGGAAGGGGTAAATTTTTTTTTTTCGGCTTTTGGAGAATTTTTGACGCACTACGGATATATACTAGAATAAGTTTAACAGATTATTGTGGGGAACATGAATCATTTAATAATGAATCCTTTTGCAACAGTTATACACAATTTAAAGCCAGTGAAGCAAATAGACAGAGACCATTAAAATACGAGACGTTTAACTGTAATTTCAAGCTTTTACCGGTCTCAAAAAATATAACACAAACAATTATACAGGTTGTTTACAGGCGTTGAAGTGTAATTTTGTGAGATTAAGATGTTTCTTGGAGATTCTGCAAGTAGTTGTTCATCTTGCCCCTGAAAATTTTGAAAATTAAGATATTAGAGAATACGCCTTTTATTGCACCGTGAGGACAAGCATGAAGCATGTGCTCAAACAACAATAATGAAAAATCATTTGTTAAAAAAAAAAAAAAAACCGCTACGCAATAATAAAAATATTCAATCTTCTTGTTTCTTTCTCTTAATTCTCAACTTGTCAAGACCTGACAGTGCTGTTATGTCTAAATATTTAAGATAACATACCTCTATCTTCCATTCATTGTAGATATAGAAAGATTGTTCATGGCTGAACGGTATTCAAAGTCATTTCTTTCACCATCTACATTGGTGATACAGTCTAAATTTGTAAATGCAGGTTTCTTCACAATAGGCAAAAGGGTTCTTTCATTTGTGATCATAGAAATGACTTCTGATGTAGTTGGTCTATTTGCTGGAGATTCTTCTACACACAAAAGACTTATTTGAATAAATCTAAGAAATTGTTGATTCGAACATGACTTGCTTAGTATTGGATCCATCAATTCTAAACCAACTCCATTTTGCCATAAATCCCAAGCCTGCAATAGTAATTTTCAACTTATATATACGATATGTACGTAAAGGTAGGTTATTACTGAAGTAACTAATGCTCATTTTAGTTCAAAAGCATGCTTAAGACAAATACAAATAAAATTACTCACATATTGTATTAGATTCAAGGGTTTATTGACTTCATAAAAGCTGCTGTTCCTCTTGCCACTTAAAATTTCAAGAATTATGACTCCAAGACTAAAAACATCTGATTTTATAGAGAATATTCCATCCATTGCATACTCGGGAGACATGTATCCACTAATTGAAAAAAAAAAAAACATAAAGAGCCATTTGGTTAGAAATGGAAGCATATGCTTTTTGCTTGAAACAAAACCAATTTGCATGTATATATTTTAAAAATTTATTAAACTTACTATGTCCCAACAATTCTGTTCGTCTTGGCTATGAACTCATTCTCCTTGAAAATTCTTGCCATTCCAAAATCAGAAATTTTAGGATTCATGTCTATATCAAGTAATATGTTACTGGTTTTCAAATCTCTGTGTATGATTCTTAATCTTGAATGTTGATGAAGGTAAAGAAGTCCTTGTGAAATCCCTTCAATAATCATCACTCTAATTTTCCAATTTAATGCCGCCCTCTTGGATGCATCTTCAAAATTACAATCACATACAAAGTTTCAACATGTGAGATTACAACAAACTATTAAACTAGCAGTTTAATGACAAGTTTCATTTCAGAATATAAATTGTTTTCGAATAGATTGTATCATTGAAATGATGAGATTCTTGCATTGCAAAATGTAAAAGGTGGTAACATAATGAAATAAACTAACCAAAGAGAAAGGAGTCTAGACTTTTATTGGGCATGTATTCATAAACTAACATCTTTTCCTCAGATTGCATGCAGCATCCAAGTAAACGTACTAGATTCTTGTGTTGTAGTTTTGCTATGAGTATCAATTCATTCTTAAACTCCACCAATCCTTGTCCTGAACTCCTTGATAGCCTTTTCACTGCAATTTCTACCCCTTCAGGTAGTTTTCCCTGACCATTTTGCCATTAGATTAAATTAGTAACTCAAAAACAATAGAATGGTAACAAAACTAAACAGAGATGCTTACCTTATAAACTGGGCCAAAACCACCTTCTCCAAGCTTATTTTGTACAGAAAAGTCATCTGTAGCTTCAACAATAGAGACAAAGGTAAACATTTTCAAATGTTGAGAAAAGCCATCATCGTATCCAAGCTCATTTGGATCGTGCAAATTACTGCTTGTTGTTTCCGATTGATGTAGATGGTCTTCTTTTCTCCCTGTATTGTTTGTTATGTGCCAAGAAATAGTATATTAGTCAATTCATATTCAGATTTTAGAACAGTGGGGATAAAGATTTTGCACATCACCTTTTGTTTTCCATCTCCGATACAAGATAATGACAATGACAGACACTGACAACAATGAAATCGGAACTGAAATTGCAATCCTTTTCTTTGTGTCCCTTCCTTCTGCAACGGTGTGGTTTAGTCAAAATGAGAATTTTTGTTTTTTGAAGTAGAAACAACCTATTAAAAGAAGAGATAAAGATGAAATCAAATATTACAATGCATTTTAAGTATGTTAAAAATTATTTTTAGTGAAATCTAGTAGTCTACATAATGACATCTAATTTTTTATGAGTAAATTATTTTTGACTGTCCTCATGCTTTGTCTTAATTATAGATACCTTTTATTTATTTTCAAAACATTACACCTGTCAGAGAAATTTAAAGTTATATTTTGTAAGGTACCGTGTATGTCAGTCTTCATTTGTAACTTAGTTAACTTCAAATGGAGGGTAACATACATTATTGCTATCAATTAATATAGAAGATATAATGTAATATTTATACTTCATCTATTAAAAAATATAAAAATTTTTTAAGTTAAAATATTAAATAATATAAGGTATTTTAAGTCTTTTAAAGTGTAATTAATATTATTTTTTTAAAAATACCCTTAATTAGAGATGTAATTAATAAAGGTTTTTAATTGAGGCATCTTGTTAAATAGAAATAAATATGAAAAGAGTATATAATTTTAAAGATAATTAACTAGAAGGAATGTTTACATACATACACTCCTTTTGGTCCTATATATAAGTAATCTTTTTGAAAGAATTAATAATCCTTTTTATAGGTTAATTTACAAAAAAGATCATTACATACTTTTTTCTATGTTTACCCTTTCATAATTTTCTATCAATAGTGTAAAAATTACATATGAAAAAAAATTCTCTTTTTTAAAGATGATGCATAAATAAGGTTAAATTGAAAACTTTTTTTTATATAATATAAACAATTTTCAATAAAACAATTAACACTGAACTGTGTAACAGAGGAAGTATATAACTAAGTTGGATATGAATTCACAAACTTACTGTTTTGTGATTGTTGGATAACATAATGTTGTTGCGAATTCCCAGATGGGTCTAGTTGGAACTCTGCTTCTTGATGATATGTGACACAACCTACGCTGCGGCTCTTGAGATATGCTTGACAATTACAGTCATTCCAACAACTAGCTCTACAATCAGCAGGCCCAATGCTTTCACTCTCACCATCAATGAATTTTCCATTTCTCTTACTCACAAAGTACCCAGACAATAGCTCAAATCTCGTATTCTCACTCCTACACTCTAGCTGTTCCCATTTTGCACATCCCACATCTTCCTCGTACCCATAACAATAATCCTGTAATGCCACTTCCTCGTTGTTAAACCAAATACTACCTTCGTAATCTAAGATCCATTCTATGCTTTCATGAATCCCAGGATCCATAGGGTCTTGTTTCAGTGAATAATTGAAGAACTCTTCATCTGAAGTTTTGGTATATGACATTTCATAAGATTGTATTTTATGGGACAATTGTTCTATGTTTCCCAAGGTTGTTCCACCACTGGTCCAGAAAACAACCCCTCTTCGCCGAAGAACTAACTCTAAGCCATGAGGGTCCCATTCGAGTGTGAAAGCTCCTGGAGATGGATCATCATAGGCCAGCCATGAAGTGAGAGACCAATTTCTTCCTGTTCTGTGATTGATCCCTAGTTTCATGCCAGGTAACAGATGGTCAGTGGGACAGTCAAAGCTCTGCCACAAGGTTCTCCCGACAGATCCATCGGAATTCACTTCTGTCAGTACAAGATTTCCATTGTCGAGCAACACAGCCTTTGTGTTGGTGGTGCTGTTGGTCGCGGCTTCGCCAGGGCACAATTGAATTGGGTCACCATGAGTCTGATTGATCACAAACTTTCCGGTGTTGTCGATGAAGAGAGTTGCAGAACCGTCAGTGATTGGGTTGTCTCTGTTGGCTAGCCAAACAGGGTACGAGGATGATTCGTACGAATTCCAGATGGCCAAGTAAGTGTTGTTGCTGAAGGGAATAGGTTTGACGAATTCTAGGGTGAAATTCTGGTTGTTGGAAACCAAGCGACCGGTGAAGTTGAGTGAGTCGGATTGATTCAGAGTGTTGGTTTCTGCAAACACGACGATGCAGCTGAAGAACAGGGGAGAAATAATCACTAGGATGAGAAGGTGAAGATACATCAATGAGTTTTCCCGGCGAAGCATCTATGTTTCTATGCACAGAGATATCAATTAGGACAGGATTCTAAATATCATCGTTGTGATTAAAAAACGAAAAGAAAAAAAAATTAAGGATGCAAGTCAAGCTGGATTTGAACCTGCAATGAGCGCAAATCAACTCATTTAATGAATATTAAAAAGTGAAGTTAGGCAACTCACTAAAATTCACGTGAAATTCATCTCAATGATGAATTTGTCCAAATATTAATT